AATTATATTATTAAACCAAATATAAATTACTTCGTTACTGTACATAAATTAAATTATAAAAAAATTGAATTAAAAAATTATCCAAAAAAATGAGGAATTTCAAATAGTTAATTTGATACTAATATCGATATATTTTTGTCAAATTTTATTGATATATTCAAACATATATTTTATTCAAAAATAAAAATATCATCGATTTCTCAAAATCACATAAAGTCATATTATAACATCGACTGAGATAAAGAATAAAATGAAATATTAAAATCACGATGTATCTCGCTGCATTGCGCGAGTATGCTTCTAGTTTTTTATAACTAGTTTAGTTTTTCTCTAATATTATTTATATATTTTATAATGTAAAAAAAAGAAAAAGGAACAAACAATTAATAAAATTAATTTAAAATGGTGAAAAAGCCGATTTCCCAAATTAAAGTCATCCCCATGTAAAGGAAAATGTGCAATTCGAATTTGAGTACATATCAATACCATATATTGTATTTCGTAAACGCTACATTAAACCATACTTTTTCTTTATTCTTGTAGTTATTGGTATCGACTTTAACATGCCATGAGAGGTACATACACATACTACTAGTATAGTAAGATTGATTTATGCTCAATAAATTCATGAAATAAAATATAAAACATCAATATTCGTGATACTAACAAAAATGTACATTGCTACATATGTTATAGCTAGTCTCTGTTGTGTCAAGGCTCTCGCTACCGACATGATTTCCTCTTATGCAACCTTGATATTTTTCTTGTATAACATTTATTTAAATCATACCAAAACCTATATAACAAGCATTAAAAACATGTGATCCTGTAACATATAATAATCTTTTAAAATATTAACTAGATGTGAGGTTAATCTACATAAAATTGAACTTTATAAACAATTAAAAATATATAAAGCAATGAATGAAAGGAAGCAGTTGGAGAATGGCAAGTAACATGTTAGCATTGTCTAAAGACGCTTAGAAAAACCAATATCATCATCAACTTCAAGTTCAAGTATCAAGAAGGGGTTTGTTCATAAACTAAAATGGGATCGGGATCGGGATCGGGATCGGGATCGGAATCGGAATCGGAATCGGATCTACACTCAACGTTGGGTTGGGCCCAAGATGGCTTTTGCGACAACCCAATGGTTTTGATTTTGAGAGTTGAGACTCCGCTTATATTATTTATATATCATGAATGAAATGAAATAACAAGAATTTAGGGCTTCCATTCATCGTCCCTGTCAAACCGCCGTGCTCTGCTCTTTCCAAATGGTATTGTCTCTCTTAAAATTCATTATACTGGCAAATTTTTAAACAAGTAAATTGTTTAATTTGACGGTAGGATATTTGGTACGTTTACATACTTTTTCTCTGATTTGTTTTAATCTTTGAAACTATACTTGAATTCATAATGTATATGTATATGTATATTCAGAATCAGCTAGCTTGATTGCTTTGTGGCTACTTTTTTGTTGTTGTTGTTGTTGTTTACTGATCGAATATCACAACCTTTTATTTTCATGATTTGCACCTACTCCATCCACTCCCAGACAGTATTCTGAAAAACCTAGACGCCTAACGTTTAAGCAGGAATTAAGCATACGCTTAAGTAGACATGTAAAATGTAATTATTATTAGATCGTCTCTACATATGAGATTTAAATATTCGATGCTAATATTATTTTGGTATATTTAACCAGAAATTCTATTACTCCAGATTTTCCCTTGATGCAATTACTTGAATAGGATTTAGAATATTACCTCGACAAGATGATTGATGAACACAGATTGAGAAGATACCATTAATTCTTTTGTTATTGTTTGGTAAGAGGTGTACAACTGTTGGATTTATAAATTACAAGAGTAATCGTGATAAACTTCCCACAACTACTGCAAATAGAACAATAGAATTATAGTCTTGTCACAAAACATTCCAAGTAGAAATCCTTTTACATAGTTGAAGAATAATAGGTGGTTTATGGATTTGGAGTATGTCCATAACAATTAGATTCTCTAAATCTTCTAACATTACAGGGGGTGAATGGTCTTTAATCATTTTAATCTTGCATGAAGTAGTTGTACCATCAGAAAATTCTACATATACCATGCATTCTGATGTGTTAAACATGATTGATGATTCATTGATATTACATTTCTTCTAATACTAGGATTACGATTAATGTTGCATGCCTATGTACAATAAATAATTCTCAGTACCTTTTGGAGAAGAGACGCACTTCGATGTGCATTCCAACCTGTACATCAAATTTGATACTGGACAGGGGTAACAATAATAGAAAGACATCGATGTTAAAATTGTCGGGAATATTCTGCATTTTATAAGTACCAGGCCTGAAAGCAGTATCAAATTTGGGATTTTTATTAGGAATGCAGGGAGTAGTTGTCAAACACAATGACATACCCAGAATGACCCCCCTTAAATGTATTTTGCTTTTTCTTATTTTAAAGTTGCAAACTAGTTACTCTTGCGATTGCCTAATGTGTCTTTTAAATACTAATTTTATTTTGATTAATTTCTTGCAAACTTGATTTGCAGACAAAGAGGACAAAGAAGGCTGGCATTGTTGGAAAGTATGGTGAGTGTCCTGTTTTTTTGCTTTCAGAGGAGGTTGCTAAGTGCTCAGGATGATATGAATTAGCTATCACAGTCTCTTTCTTTTTTCATTTTTAATGTCTTATAGATACTTGGTGCATATAGATTTACACAGTTCTGTTTAGCAACTTCTGTTTACTTTCTATTACTGAATTAGCAACTCCTGTTTAACTTGTATAACTAAATTTCGTTTCTGGGTATAAAGCTTTATTGAATCTTCTGTTTGCTCTTTATCTGCATAATCTATCGACTTTGGTGCATGATAGACTTTTGGTATCACACAATAATACATCAAGTGCTAGAATGTTTTACACAAGTGATGTTTTTGTTCTATACCACATATTGAATCTTGGTTGAGTAATATTTCTTAATTACCTGTGGAGTACATCATAACATTGTGTCTTTGATTCCCGTTTATGATGCAACCTTCTTCAGGTACCCGTTATGGTGCTAGTCTGCGAAAGCAGATCAAGAAAATGGAGGTCAGCCAACACAGCAAATATTTCTGTGAATTCTGTGGAAAGGTAATCTACTATCGCTGTTTTCATTGATGAAGCTTAGAAAAAGGATCAATTTCTGCAAATGTGTGTTCTTCCGGGTAACCTTCTGCCTTGCATTTTGAAATATCGCACAGTATGCAGTGAAGAGAAAGGCGGTTGGAATTTGGGGTTGTAAGGATTGTGGGAAAGTGAAGGCAGGTGGTGCATACACATTAAAGTAATGATCCGTCTCATTTGTCTGTTTATTCTCGAGATGCCATTGTTTTCAACCTCGACTAATTCCTTTTGTCTCTTTGTATAAAAGCACTGCGAGTGCTGTGACGGTCAGGAGCACTATTCGAAGGCTGAGGGAGCAAACAGAGAGTTAAGTGCAGATTTGAAGTTAGCAGAATGATTTATCACACCACACCTCAATGTTTGAAGTCTTTCATTCATTTACTCTTGTTAGTGTCATCATTTTTGTAGTATGGGTTCTGACAATTTTGTTGGATCAAACCATTTGAAGTCTTTTGATGTTAAATTATGGATACATGAAATGATCTTGGCATTTAGCAGTTTTGTTTTTAGCAGTAAGGTCTAAATAATTTTTAAAACAAATCATTAATCCAACTTTCTTTTTAAACATCAATGAAGTTCAAAGTTGTATTTGAACAGAGGTTTGGTTTTTCATTTGAGCAAGACTCACGTGCAAGTGAGAGAGTTGTTGGCATTTGGATCCCCACCACCACCATCACAAGCCACAAGTGGATCAATTATTGACACCACATGTAAGAAGCAGCCCAAACCAACAACTAGAAATATATTTACATTTACACTAAAAAACCAAAAGCACTTTAGTCTCGTTTATAACCCTAGCTAACATTACAGTTAATAGAAACAGGATGCTTGCTCCTCAACCGGCATCTTCACCGATTGTGGTTCCAAGCAGGTCACACTCCCATCCCACCCGTTATACAAAACTTCACACGGTGAGCGACGTTGGATCATGCATGCTGGCGGTGCACACGGCTCTGGACCGCCTTAACCGCCGCCACTCTTGCTGCATTGGCGGCCCTGTTAGCCGCTGCCACCGCCCTCTTCACCTTCACCTCCACATTCGCAGCACCAACAGCATTCTTACATATACGTCTAGCTTCCTAAAATGAAAAGAAAGACATACTATAAAAATAATAATAATAATAATAATAATAACCGGGGATGGAATTTGAAGAAAAATTAACGGACCAAATAACCCTATACAAATTGGGGATGGAATTAGAAGTATACCTGGATTGCTTTCACAACTTTGGCATTGTCTTGAGGAGTTGAAATGCTGAGAACAGCATCTTCCCAGTGACCGGATTGAGTCTCGCCATTTCTGAAAGTATACATACCAAATCCTTGCCTTCTTCCTTCATGCCAACCTCCTTCATATCGATGTCCATTTGCAAAATGGTACACACCAAAACCATGCATTCTGTCTGCAAAATACTCCCCACCGTACATGTCCCCGTTTCTGCATTACCATCAAATCACATAAAAGTAACCTCAATCTCTTTCTTTCAATGACCATCTAATCTAAGTGATTACAGAGCTCAAAAATGATACCCATTTAGTAAATAACACCCAATCACAAATTTACTACCATGAAAATGAGATAAATGCCAGAAAGTATAGAACCAACAATTGAATACCTGAAATGGTAGTGACCTAGCCCATGTTTCACACCCCCTTTGAACACCCCAAAATACTTGCTCCCATCCTCACAAGTATGAACCCCATGGCCATGACACTGACCCTTGATCCATTCTCCAGCATACATATCCCCAGTGTAAAATCTATAAACCCCATATCCATGCCTCAGCCCTTGCCTATATTGGCCTCTATACCTGCTTCCTTTGGCCCAAGTTTCAACACCATAACCATCATACTTTTGATCAACCCAATCACCTTCATATCTCCCATTCATGTTATAGTAATACACCCCACTTCCAGAACATTTGCCTTTATAGAACTCACCCTCATAAACATCTCCATTGCTGTAAACCTTGACCAAGAACCCAGAAATTGTACTTTCCTGGGTCCTGTTCTTTGAGCCAATCGACCAAACAACTGGGGGGCGTGTCTTTGATGCATTACTACCTATGTTCAAAACTGGGGCCAGGATTGATGGAAGGTTAAGAAAAGATAAAATAAGGACGCAAAGGGTCATTAAGAAGAGTATATAAAGATACAAAGATTGACGATGGTTTAAAGAAAAGTAGTAGATGGAAGGCAAAGAGAGAAGGATGAAAAGCCTTGAAGGGGCTTTCATCCAAAAGAGCTTCTTCCCATGACCAAGGTTGAGCAGCAGTTTCAAAGCAATTGCTTTGGTGGCTAAAAGGGGTTCAGAAGATGAACAACAGCTTAAAGAGGTGTTAGTGTTGCGGTGGTGGTGGGGATTCATGAGGTCCTTTGATGGGTGGTTTTTCTTGAAAGGGAGGAGTTGTTCATCGTAATCTGGTGGTGGGTGAAGAATGGGTTTTTGACAAGGGGTTTTTGAATGGGAATAGGAGGGTGGTGGTGGTTGTGGGATCTGAAGGCCTGATTTCTTGTGACGCATTTACTAGTTAGTAATCAGAAGATGAAGACTAAGAGAGACAGGTAATGATAGAAATTCTTCATGTGTTGATGGTTTTGAGGATGGTTTTGTTATCTGGTTTCTCTTTTGGAGATGAAAAGAAACCACATTAGGCATAAAAGTGGACAGATGGTTATATATATATATATATATATATATAGAGAGAGAGAGAGAGAGAGAGAGAGAGAGAAAGAAAGGGGTTGAAGCTGACGGAATCAATCAAGTCTGTAGTTTTGTAACTGGCGAAAAAGGGCCATATTTACTATTGATTTTAAAACTATACACCCATGGATTTTCAATTTTATTATAAAAAAGTTGAAGTTAAAACTACACTTATCTTTGTATATTAATGTTAATGATGTTTTTCCTTTCAACAATTAAAAACATACCTGTTGGTGAAGCCCCAAATCATTTGGGTTTATTTATTAAAAAGACTAAAAATAAATCATTTGGGTTTATTTATTGAAAAGACTAAAAATAAATCATTTGGGTTTATTTATT